ACACACACACACACACACACACACACACACACACACACACACACACACAGCTCAATAAACAGCAGACATCAAAAGGTCGACACACCATTTTTAAAAAACATATTTTTTTGTCCTCTTGCCTTGAGGACCAAAGCAGAAAGACAGAAAAAAACTGGGTTTGCCCCATTTCCATTTGAATACTGCAACTTAGAAAAAAAAAAAATCTAATCTGGACAGGTTAATGTTACTTCGGTTTAAGTGCACAGTGGCACAAACAGTACAGATCTTGCATAGGCACTCCATGATTTTAGTTTTATCAAGGTTAGTGTCAAACATACTGTTTCTCCACCTTACAGTGCTGTTATAGACAAATCTAAATGCAGCTCACACACTTAAAGCCAGGAGCTCACGTTCCACATCCTGCAGGCTCCTTCAAAGAATAATTCTAATTTGTGTCAACCAGCTGGATTTTTCATTGACATGGCTATTGTCTCCTGCAGACACTTGAGGAAATGAGGACATGCTGAACAAAAAGTTATCCACAGGTAAACAAGTCTCTCTCATGTGGACCAATATACAACAGGAGTTTCAAACCAAGGGTTTCATTCAGCAAACTGAGCCTTTGAAAACTATGAAAATTATAGTGAAGTCATTAATTTTTAAACAAAAGGTACTTGTATTCTTGTTCTTCTGGTGTCTGCATAACTATGCTAGAGTGAAATGTATGGAAAGTGAAAATTCAAGAAAATATCCAGATATTAACAAGTTGTTTGAATAATAAAGTTGGATATTATTATTGTTGTTGTTTATCATTTAGTTTAAAAAAACAAAAAAAAAAAACAACTCAACATGCAAAGGTTTTGTGCTTCTTGGTAAACACTTACCAAGAATGCAGGCAGCGAATCCTGACCGCATGTTATAAAACGGCCAAACCTCTCACATGTCTGGAAATGCAACCTGGGCCAGTCAGACAATGAAATCTGCTGGCTGACAGGCCCAGGAAGGCTTTTCCATCTTTAACTTGTGTAGCATGCTGTAAGAACTGTGATCGATCCACGAGTTTTTTATAAACATATAAAGTAGAGTTTAGTCAGAAGTTTAGACATTTATGAATGTGCTATACATAAGTATTTATCCATTTGTGTCATTATAAAATCACAAAAGTTCAAAAGGTTTTAATTTTTCAAGTTAAAAACTTATAGAATATAGACAAAAATACATTTAATAAATGAACTGTGAATTGTGGCGTATTAATTCAGAATTTGGAAATGTTCTCAGGCATTCCATACCACTCAATAAAAGAAGAAAATGATCTCTGATATAGAGGAGTAGGACATCATGTAACTTTGTCTGGGGCTTGTGGTTTCAATGTAAAAAAAAAAGTGGCTGATGTGAGGTTTTCTTCTCCAGTCAAGCTCAAACTGTTCTGGATGTGAAAGAGTGCTGTGGCGCAACATCAGCATACAACCCTGACCACCTGGATGAGGCAGTAAACACCACTTTGGTACTGCAGATTATTCCTTAATTTTTGAAGCTACAGCAGCTCTATAAAAGATCTATTTACTTTTCGACTGCTATCAACTTCAGCACATAAACTAACGCTTCAATTAACTGAACACAGATGCTTTAACTGACATTTTAAATGCAGTGTCGGGGTGGCTGAAGCTCAGGAGGCAGAGAAGGTCATTTGCTAATCGGAAGGTTAGCGGTTTGATCCCTGGCTGCTCCAGTCTGCATGCCAAATATCCTTGGGCAAGATACTAACCCCTAAGTTACTCTCTGATGTATCCATCAGAGTCTGAATGTGTGTGAATGTTAGATATAAAGCACTTACATAGAAAAAGCATAGATAAAAGTGCTTGTGTGGATGGGTGAATGTGGCAAGTTGTGTAAAGCACTTTGAGTGCTCAGGTCGATTAGAAAAGAGCTCTATAAGAACCCTGTCCACTTACCATTTACCAGTTGGTGGTTTCACACAGTTACCATTACTGGCTGCATATGAGCTCATCAGTCAGCTGCTTTCAAATAACACATCAAGAGTGAAGAGTAGGCTTTAACTAAAGACACATGGCAGATGCTGCCTCTCTCTAAGCCTGGTTCTACTGGAGGTTTCTTCCTCTTAAAAGGGAGTTTTTCCTTTCCACTTTTCTCTGTATTATTGTAGGGTCTTTACCTTAGAGTACAGCTGTTGTTGTGATCTGGCATTATGCGAATAAAATGGAATTGAACTGATATCTATAACTATGGTCACTGTAAACATACAGACTGTCACTTCAAGTATTTTCAGCCATGATATTTCACTTGCTTTCATTGCCATACTTCAGCTACTCATCCTTATTCATCGAGTTAAATGTTTCTTGTTGCTGCTAACATGTTGACACTGGACACTTAACGGCTGTCACTTCCTACACACAAATGAGTACCAGAGGTTTGCACACTAAAATACTTTAAGTATCTTTAGTGCTTAGAAGTTAACTGAAACTTTAATCACATTTACAGTTTACATTCTTCCCTGAGATTTCAGTTGCTTTCACTGGAACACTTTGACTGATATCCCACTTGCTTCCATCTCTTACTCTTTGACATTTGCCGTCACATATCTGCCATTTCAGTTGCTTTCATTGGTGACACATCAGTTGATAAATCGCACCAACCAAATGGGACTAAAACCTTTTTCAAAATCTGACACTGCAACTGGTATACCAACTTGTGTTGTTTTGACGAACTGTGACCTTGGACGTAATGCTGAGCTTGTCATTGGATGTAATTTGTTAGCTTGTTTTCTAATTTTTAATTCATTTTCTCTATTATTAAATTTATATTAGATTCAATCTGCCTCCCTGTAGTTTCATGTTGGCATCCAGGCATAAAACTGACACTCATGATACACAGTGTAAATGCCTGCGCCTCTACCCGCACTAAATTGAAAGTGCGATGTGAGCAGCTACTCTGATCCGACATCATCATCTCAAAATGAGGGAAAAACAGAAGGAAAGTGAAGGAGGGTTTCTGTTCTGTTTAAACTGGAGCTTAATGGAAAAGTAGAGATGTCAGTTCATCATCATCAGAATTTCCTGTGTTGATTTCAGAGCTAAATGAAGGAGGAAATAACTTTCATCTTCTGGGTTTATCAGCTAACACCTGCTAGCCTCTAACTTCCTATAAGATGATGTCACATTTTCCTCTTGAAGTAATAAATCCACCTACAGTGCACAGATTCTTTCTCTCACTTGAGCACGGACACACGCACTTTGGATTAGCCCTCTCTCTTCAGAGAGAATAGGAACACTTTTCAGCACATACCTGCCACCACTCTCTCTCCCCAGCAGGCAGTTCCACTCCATAGCTGTTTAGAGCCAGGTACAGCATTGCTATGGCGATGTGTTGGGGTCTGTGGCAGATGACCATGGCTCCATGGTAACAGTCTCTAAGCAGCGCCCAGGAAGTTTCAGCTACAGGAGTTCGAGACCAAGCATGGCGGTTCACAAGTGACTTGACAGACAGCAGGTAGTGGAGCAAATACTGAAGATGAAAGACAGCAGACAAATTTAAACTTCAGAGATCAGGCACTACTACACTTACTATTTTATTAAATGCAAGGGTCATGTAAGTAAAACTAAAAGCATTCAAGCCAACAGAAAACACTTATTTGTCCCAGAGATCACAGAGATCGTAAACACAAGCACATTTGCATCAGAAAATCAGGCAGTAACACAGACCAAAAAGGAGGTTTAGCACCAAATAAGGAGGGAACAGGGATCCGTGCACGTGCGCTCACAACTACCTTGTGAGGGTGTTCGAAGGAGACTTGGAAGTTGAGCTGTCGGAGGATGAGGAGCTCACACTGCACCACGCTGTCCCTCAGGTCCCAGAACTCCTTGTCACATTCTAAAGGAGTACTGCCACTGTTGAAATACCTGAAAGGGTGGAGGAGAGCATTTAAGGTGACAGCTCCAAAAACTGAATGGTTAAACTGCCTGGTAAAGAATTTGTTATTTAATGTATCCACTTCCATAAAAGTGTGATGTGAAATGTAAAATAAAACAGGATTCACAGTTGCCTGCTCATCCAGCTGAGCTAAACTGGTGCCCGCCCACATGTTTTTAAAGCACTGGGACAAGAGCCTGGAAGGGTTGTGCTTTTTTTTTTTTAAAAAAAAAAGGATGTCCATTTATAGCATGCTTGTCTACTTCAGTTTAAGAGCAATATGTGCTGTATGTGTAGATGATATTTCCTCAGAAAAATTAGTGCCAAACTACATAATACATATGTTCCATGTGCAGAGTGGAGTTCAGGTTTTTGTAAGGCACAGGGAAAATTTCAGTGAATGCAAATATTGAAACAATCAAAAGCTTCAGAACAAGCCACTATGTGGAGGAGTGGGACTGGCAACTTTTAACTTGGCTTAATTTTTAACAGAAATACTTTTTATTATTATTCATGTTGATGTTTTTTTTTCCACTTTTTAATATGTCTACTCTTAAGTTAATGTGTTTTCTCCATGCATTTTCTCACACATGAGTGGGTTAGAGCCTGTCCAAAGTCATACTTTAAGAAAATCAGGGTACCAAGTGCAGATCCCAGAAAATTAACATACTTTTGCACTTTGTTTTATGTCTTATTTAAATGTATGTTTATGACTGGAGACTGAGTATATTCTGGTTTTGCACTTGTTGATGGGACAGAGTCTTATCTAAAAATATTACCTTGGGCTTTACAAGCCTTCCTGGTCAAGGCTATTTTGTTTTTACTCTTGTGATGTTTTTCAGACCAAACCATTTATTCAAGAAAAGCAGACTACTCATTAAAAATTATTTATTAAATGTTTGGGGCTTTTTAATGTCCCTCTCATAACAAAAAGAGTTCAGAAAGACAAAACACAACCTTTTTGTTCTCAAGCAAAGTCAAATATCTAAGAGGCTCAGTTAGCAAGAAATTGTTTTTCTCTCAGCAGTGAGGTTAAAATGTCGATTATACACTCCACCTTTTAAATTATTACCTGTGGCTTACATTGATGATATCACGGGTCCTGATGTGCTGCTCCTCCACTTTACCAGCCAGGTACACACAGCTCATGGCCACTAGGTAGGGTTCATAGGCATGGATACTGACCCTCTCAAAGAAACGATGATAGAGCACACATGCTGTAGCCACGGGCACCGAGCGCATGCAGAGTTTCACTCCTGAATAACAGAGGAGGGGGTAAAATGTAGGTCTTTAAGGGCACACTAATGTTTTATCATCGTTAGCTGACTGATTCACACCTATTTTCACCCGCTGTAATCCTGAAATGCAGTTTCAGTTCACATTACTATTCGTTTGAAATCCCATTAAATCAACAAATCAAAAACCAGGAAAGAATACATAATACTGGACACATGTTTCAAAAACCTTAAACCTTGACTTTCTTAAAGAGAACCTGCTCATTTCCAACTCAATATTTTTTTTCTTGAATTCTCGTAAAGAAGCTCTATATGATTTAAAATTTCAAATAGTCCTTATTTAGATTTTACTGGGTCTCAGCACAGCATTCATACGCTGTGTGAAACAGACTGTCTTCCCCCTTTAAGCTTCAGAGCAATGGGAGATGACTATTATAGGGAACTCCGATATCTCTCACTGTCATCAGACAGAGTGTAGAGCAAAATTATTTTGGCTCATTCTTTGATACTATGGTGATATGAACATCTACCACTGGAGCAATGTATTTGAAAGAAAATAAAGACGAGCATAAAATGTGTTCTTTAATTTATCATTACACCAAAATAAGCAATCACTTGCCTTATGTCAAAAACTAAATGTCAATGGGAGCTGCTTAATCACGGGTGTGATCACATGTGTCAGAAAGTGAGGACCATTTCAGGAAAAAGGCTGATTAGTCTTTCTAAATTTCTGGCACCATCTATCTAATTTTATAGATGCCCATTTCCACTTGGTAGAAAAAAAAACATGATATAAATAAAAACAAACAAAAAAAAACAAAAAACAATAATGCATACTTTAACCATCTAGATCTAGATCGTAGGGCAGCAAAGGTTAGTCAAAATCTATGTTTTCACTGAGTAAGTACATAGACAAAGTATTGTCCTATAACGAAACCTCTTTTTTTCCAGGCTTAGACAAAATACAAAAGATGAACGTAGACAGTGTTAGCACTTTGCCCGCTGCCTCGTTGTTTATTTGAGACAGAACTGGCTATATTTAGACCGGAAGATGCAGCGCTGAGCTCAAACAGAAAATAGGAAAACAAAAATTATTATGGTTTTTTGGTGTGCTGTATATTCTTAGCAAACCATAGTCTTTATTAGATATAATATACATACAGATATAACAATAAAATTTTAAAATAGAATCAAGATGAGCACCTCTGTACAGTTGTAATGAGGGGAGTGATTAACTATAGAGACCAAAAGCATTTTTTGTGAACATGTTTACCATGCATTGCTGAATTCAGGCATTTAAACATGGGTTTCTAATGTTCAAAACACTCTTAAGCACAATGAAGTGGGTAAGAGGGGAGGTGTCAAGGGGAATTGGGGGGGGGGGGGGGAATTGAGACAAGAGCAAGAGTAACATTTACAAGAAGCTAGTGAGACCTGCTATGATGTAAGGTTTGGAGATGGTGGGACTGAAAGAAAGATGGGATGCGGAGCTTCAAGTGGCAGAACTGAAGACGTTAAGATATTTACTAGGGTCCACCATGATGGACTCACTTAAATGTTTAAAGTGTGTGTCTTTTAACTTGACACAGGGTTATTAACTTCTCATTAGTGATCATGATTGACTATAACTTGTAGTTAATCTTGACCAGCATAAAAAGGATTTCTTTGACAGCAATAACTGGAATGTATTCAGAACAAAGGGAAAGTACTACAACGTGTGACGCAGAAGTGTACATTTACACAAGTTGGGAATGTCTCTTGGAGACATTTATGAATAACTGTGCTTTCAGTATAATCAGTTCAGACAATTGTGCATAAGTACACGTTATTCAGATGTCACCACTTCGCCAAGTCTGGAGGAAAACCCAAATGAGACAAAATTGGTTACGATGTTCGCAAATAACCCAGGAACCAACTAGGCTCAAGCCAACAATGAAACTTTCAAGCTCAGCTGAAATTTAATGCTGCTCACATGGTTGCCTCTTTAGGCATTTGACTTTAGGCATTTAGCTTTTTGGACAAAATAACAAGAGATCGTTTTGAGTAAAGGTGAAGCTTTCAAACCTAAGAACATTGTACCATCTTGCCAAGCATGGTGGTGGAAGTATCATGCTCTGGGGCCGTTTGTGGTGGTACGAGTTGTACTGGTACATTGCACAAAATAGGCAGCATTATGAAGAAGGAGGACTACCTCCAAACTCTTCAACTTCAGCACACCTTAAGGGCTAGCTAAAACTTTGATAATAACTGAGTGTTCCAACAGAACAGCGATCTCAAACACATGAAACCAATTAATAAAAATGAACAACAACTCACTTTTTTTTAAAAAAACTTTTGATACAACTGATGATCAGCTGTATCAGCTGATCATCAGTTGTATCAAAATATTCATTATACTTTTTTTTTTTAAATCAAAGACTTTACTTGTCATTCCTAGCAGGTAAGACTTGATAAGTTTACTTTATAGCCCTGAAAACTTGCTCTTCGAACCCTCTCTCACACTCACACACAGACCACCCCTGGATTACCTGTCTCCATGATGAAACGACAAACGCGAAAGTGTTTCGTGTCAAGGCTCGGGTCAGCCGCTATATCCCCACCAGAGTCTCTCCTTCCAGCAACGCGCAGAGATGCGGTCGAGTAAGCAGATGGTCCCTGCATGTCTAGTGGAGTACAAGCAGGGGTAACCAACAATAGAAAAAAAGCACAGACTGTCTACAAGAGTCAAGAAGATGATAATTGAAGGCTGTGAGTTTCATTGTAAACTTTTAACTTACCCATCCAAAGTGCAAATTCTACGTGATATATTTATTCCTACTTTTTGAAAAACAAACATAAGATCTGCTTGTTAGTTACATATCTTAATCAACTTGTCTTCTTAGTTGCCGCTAGTAATACCCGGAAGAAAAATAGTTGGACTTCCGGTTAATATATACATATATATATATATATTTTTTTTTAAGTGCGTAAGAAAGAAATATGCTTTATGCAACACTCTGTGCAATCCCGTCTGCAGGAAAATAAAAACATAATTAAACGCAAGCATCCGCACATGATGTGTTTTGACATACGAAATAATTTCTACCTCATAACTTCCGTTTGAGATCTTTCAAAATAAAAGCCCCCTGAATGCGGAACAGATCACATCTAGGCCAATAAAACAACTTGTAAATTAATCATTACAAACACGGAATCAGATAGTACTGATAAAACATGTATGAACAACAACAAAAAAACACAAACAAAAAATAAATAAACTGTACAAACTGATTCATATGAGGGGTTCTTTCAGGCCATAGTTTTCTTTTCAAATAAGCTGTTGTAGGGAGAAGTCTGTTTGTCTATATTGCTAAGCAACGAGTCAACAATTTAACAGATTAGGAAACCGTAACTTACAGATCCAGCAATGTCTTCCAGCTATTCGGCAAACCAGGTAATCTAAATAACAACGCCAATAAAAACTCTAAACATTACACATTTTACTTCTCTGTTTATGCGTTTTTAAAACTTCTATTCACAGTATGACAGCGCCTTTAAACCGCACAGGCTGCAGAACTGGTGTGAGACTAAGCACTTCAAAGAGGTATAGGAAGTTTTCAACTCTTGATCATTTCCATTTCGTGTTAGATTTAAACAAATTTGTGCAAAAATAGATTTTTACAAAGATTTTATCTCCCTCTATGTGTGGGTATTTGCAGAGACCTAGTGCACAGGTGGGCCGTACCACCTTCATTGCTGATGATAGAGGACACCTGCTCCCAGGAGTGGGGAAGGTGAGATCACATCTTTCTTCTTTCCCCTCTTCACTGGAAGTGACATTTTTCACTGTGAATATATGACTTCACTCCCTCACTGCGTGTGTGTTGCTACAGAGAGGCCTTGCATGGCCGGACTTTAAAGGCACCTGGGATCTACCTGCTCGCATCCCAGGCCAGCGAATCAACCCTACCGCCCGCTCTGTGGAGGGCCTCAACAGGCTCAAATCATGGGGACGGTACCCAAAGAACGCTGACATGTCTCAGCCACACAGAGGCAGCAAAAGCACAAATAGGCAGAAGGAAACTGGCGAGCAGGTTAGAGCCACACAAACACAACAACCTGGTGTGGTGTTGAGTGTATACTAACAATTTTTCCATCCAGACTGATGTTTTCACAAACTCTGTGCTGTTTTCACAGTGTGTTTGTCAGTCATATGACTTACCCAAAAAAAGTTGCTGAGTACTGCTTCATCTTTCCAAGTAAATGTAATGTTTGAGCTGAATCTTGAGACTGCCTGAGCAGGTTTCAGCGAAGACTATCTTTATTTTTAACTACATGCTTTGGTACAAACATTACTGATTCACTATGATGAGTACAGGGAAAGCATATTGCTGTGAATGCTTTCATCAGCAACTACACTCATGTGAAAGAGACAGTTTTCATAGGATTCTATGATATTCCATGATATATTCATTGTTCAGTAGCTTAACAAATGACCACAAAAAGAACATTCCTCTGAAAACAGTCAGGTAAAAAGACTGGATGGAAAATGAGTGAAAAAGAAACCAATATCTAAAGTAAAAGTTTAAAAAATCTTCAGAAAGCCTGGAACACTATTTCTCAAGACCACTTTAAAAATTGCAAGAAAATCTGGCTCCAGGAAACAAAATATAAAGAAATGAGTAGTGAAGACTTGTTATAGTTATGGTTGGAAAATTGTAGGTACATATTACTTTCCACAAGTCAAGGTAACTTTATTTATGCCCATAGGCAAGGTAAATTTTCTTTACAGAAAAATGTTAGCATTTGGCATCCCTTCAAAAACACACAATGTCAATAGAAAATTGTATTTGTTTAGTCAGTATAAGCTTTTAATGATATAAGTTTATTTGTGATAGAATGCTGCATGGTAATCTTTTCCTTGCTTAGAACTGATTGTTCTTCATGAAACGTGTTCTGATACTTGTATCTGAATCTTTCCACAGCGATAGTAAGAAGTTGAACAAGC